GTCCCAGCTACTTGGGAGGCTGAGGCAGGAGACTCGCTTGAGCCCAGGAGTTGGAGGTTGCTGTGAGCTGTGATGCCATGGTGCTCTACCCAGGGGGATAGCTTGAGGCTCTGTCTCAAAAAAAAAAAAAAGAAAAAAAAACTATAAACAAATTTTCTTGCTTATGAAACTTGCATATGTATGACACTTGCATATGTGTCACCTCCCCTGTCCATGCAAGGAGTCAAGTCTGAATCCCAAGATGCAGGATGTAAGGCCAGAAAACCTCTCCTTTGGCTCTGCTCCAGGTAGGGGACCACCCCACAGACCAAGGTGGAGGGCGGGAGCTTCCATCTTTACTCAGTGCAACAGGCCTTTGGAGGCCCCTCTGCCCTGCAGGACTGGTGCTGGGAGATGGGGAGACACAGCACTGATGGCTGTGTGGACAAAATATCCTGGGTGCAGAACAATTATCTCTTGCATCAAAGAGAGTGGCCTCTGTTAGGGACAGGTAGAGAACAGGGTATGAAGGAGATGAAAAGTGGACAATTGTTCTGACAGAGGAAGCAGTTCCTTTGCTTAGACATGGACAGGGTAGGGAGATAGACTGCTCTGTGCTACTACAAAAGCAGAATTAGCCAAGACTGTGGTTAGAAAGTTTTGAAATTCAGGTGGTGCCTGTGGGTCACTGAGTAGGGCACTGGCCCCATATACCTGGGGTGGTGGGCACCTGTAGTCCCAGCTACCTGGAAGACTGAGGCAAGAGAATCACCTAAGGCCAAGCGCTGGAGGTTGCTGTGAGCTGTGACAGTACAGCACTCTACCGAGGGCAACAAAGTGACACTTTAAAAAAAAAACAAAGAAAAGAAAGTTTTGAATTTCAGGTATTGCTCCACTCCTGAGATCCCTACAGAAAGTTTGATGAATAGGAACTTTTTTTTTTTTTTGGTAGAGACAGAGTTTCACTTTATCACCCATGGTAGAGTGATGTGGCATCACACAGCTCACAGCAACCTCCAACTCCTGGGCTTAGGTGATTCCCTTGCTCAGCCTCCCAAGTAGCTGGGACTACAGGTGCCCGGCCACCACACCCAGCTATTTTTGTTGTTGCAGTTTTGTTTCATGAGGGTTTCCGCAAGAGACAGACAGCGCCACAGGTGTAGTCTCACTGCTGGAATTATTATAATGAAAGAGACAGACTACTCCTCTGGTGGAAGTGGCCAAGTTTATTGTTCTTTTTTTTTGAGACAGAGCCTCAAGCTGTCCCCCTGGGTAGAGTGCTCTGGCATTACAGCTCACAGCAACCTCCAACTCCTGGGCTCAAG